TCGAGTTTGAACTTTCGCAAGGTACGGGTGCACTAGATCATGTCCTGTTATAACGGATCTGTAGTTCATTGTCTATACATTGTCTATCCGTTATAACATGTCCTGATCAATTTCCAAAAAAAACTGTGTAAAATTGATATTTATTAACTTATCTTTGATAAACAATGACATTCTACATATTGTCTGAAATCTCTAGAATAGATAGATTACAAAAAAAATAGATATTTATGTAAGTTGCGAAATTAACAAGAAAAAACAATTAATCGATAGAAATGTTGAAGCAATAAGTATTCGCACAACTGTTTAATTTTTAAAACTTGATGAAAATAGAAAAAGAAATTTACATTAATTTATAAATATATAATACTTCGTGGGATTTCCTTTTGATTTTATCATTATTGTAACTCTTTTAAGCATTAAATTAACTAAGTCATTAGTTATTCAAAGTGGGATATTCTTCCATTCCTCTATTAGAGCCATTCTTAAAAGTACTTTACTGGAAATTTGATGTTTTCTAATTCGTACGGAGCAATAAACTAATGTGTTTACGTTACAAACTCTACTGTAAATGGTTCGTCATAAGCATCGTACAAATACTTATTGCTTCTATACTTTTATCCACTTTTCGCATTTATTTGTTAATTTCACAAATTATATTAACTAGTAAATGTTGTTGGGACTATATCTATCTTAGAGACTTCCGAGAATATGTAAAATATCATTGATTACAAAAAAAAGAAGTTAAGAAACTACAATTTCACACATAAGTTTTTTTGGGAAATTGATAGGTGTACGAATACATTCTACGCCCACTGTATATGTATAATGTACATACATTTAGAAGAAAATGTAGAATATGTTAGCTATATAAAAGATATTTCCTTGTCTAACAAGAAAAATGTAAGAAAAATAGCTTTTCATTTACGCGTTAAAATCCGAACGAACTTTTTGTCCAACCTAATGCCTCTGCACAATATCTAGCAATTTGGTGCCTTCGAGGAATGCCACTTAGAGCGAGATTGTGTTTGTTTCTTAGAAGGATCGCGGAGTATCGATGCAATGAAGCATTAACGAGCCAAGATCGCACTCCGAGACGACTCTCGGGACTGATTGCATATTTTATCATCGTTGCGCGGAGAACTGTTTTCTCTCGAGGCCTACCCTATATAATCTAACGCATTCGCTAAAGTTTCTGATGATAACATAGAGCATGCAAGACATAGTGCACATTTCTCATCGATTTTTATTTAACGACTTCGCCAACTATACAGAGCGTCCCGAAAAACTGAACAAATTAGAAGCGTCGGTAATAATAATTCTTAGACCGTGGATTTGATAGATTTATGACACATTAACGTGCGATGCATAGAGAAACTGCAAATAATGCATGTAAAATATATTATATAACGTATGTGGAATATACTATACACTGAATACAATATTTTCTTGGATTCAAACTCTTGCTTCCAATAGTGACGCGAGAGTACACAAATCTCAAAATTTTCCATGATTTCACTAAAACGAAAAGAATTAAACGATCAATACATTAACGTAGCTAATATTTTTGAAAGAGCTTTTCAAAAGCTACAAAATTATATATAACACTTGCATATAAATTTTAACGACTTCAAAAAATTGCACAAGCTGAAACAACGTAAAAAACTATCCTGAATTAATTACATAAAACATAAAATATTGTGTATGTATTACTTATTAATAAAACGGAAAAAATCTTTTGGGACAACCTAATAGAATAATTCTAGAGAATTTGGTAGCCACGACCGCGTTCCGTAAACAAATTCTCTCTTGCGCCATTACTAAGTTTAAAATTTTTTATATACACCTATTCGAATTGCCTTGAGAAAAGGGTGAGATCAGAAATACTCGTAAATAAAATTAGGGTTGTTAATTATAGATCACGCTAATGTGTACATCTGGATCAAGACAGACCTTGAAAAAATATTTTGACAATGAAATCGAATTTCTGTCATAATACACAATCCAAAAAAGAAGCATCAGTTTTTAATCGTGCCATATTACAGAACTAAATTATAGAACCAAAAGGTTTTTAAAAAGGGACTTTAGAATTTTTGTATTAATCAAACACAAATGGTGTGAAATATTTTCATATTTTAGACGGAAGTACACGTGATTACAATAAGAGTCATAATGTAATTAAACGTGAAAAGTGATGCTCAAATGTCCATCACTTTTGTTATTAAAACATGAAAATCTAAAGCCCCTTTTAGAAAAGCCTTCAGAAATTTGCTTGTCCAAAAGTACGTGTGGATGTAAATTAATATTTCCTTGTTGTTTGAATGTAGCATGTACTAATTTATGTATCATAATTTTCACAGGAACCATTATGAAGCAAAACCAGACTCGAACTGTCGATACTTGACGCTAACGGAGCAGTGGCAAAATTAATCACTGAGTGGTCAAATATATTAACAAACCAACAAGGTTAACGCTTATGGAGTTGGGGAGGGTGAGACCATTGCACGTAGAGCTTTGGAATTTATGTAACGTTATGACGTCACATTGATCTGTATCACAATCTGTATCACAATTCACAAGATTGCTAAGAAAGCATAAAAAGTAATGTCATAATGTGATAATTCCGCGAATAAAGCAATCATAGTGCATTCTAGATAGAAATTGAATGTCTGAAATGCAATTAAATTGTTTGAAAGAAATCAGCACCTTGATCAATTTTAATGTAGATAAATGTTTATTCGAAAATAACGAATAAACTGTTACTCGTCATTAAGACAAAATGTACGCATTGCATATTTTAATTTCTAATTCTGAAATTATGTTAAAGAATAAGTCTACAAACGGGAAGTTGAATGTATTGTAGATTGGTATCTGATCACTCCTCTTTAATTCGTGAAACAGAATTCTTTAATTTAATACGGGTCAAATGAAAACTTTATCGTCGTACGTAAACCATACACCATCAGCAATTGCGAATACAATTGATAAGCAGAAATAGTAAGTTTTGTGACTTAAACATCTGGTGTTTAAATTATCTTTGTTGAACAGCTAATTGTAAGATAATGTCTTTCACGAACCAATGGTAACTCGAGATAATTTGTTTAAAGAATAATTTTTGCAAGGAGACTTGTCCAATTTGTTCAATATTTACGAAAGTTCCTGTATTTTTAGTAGAACTTGAAATGCTAAAGATAATATATAGTTTTGAGTTAATGTATAATAAGATATATAAAAGTTTTTGGTATCCAGTCAATGTAAAAACAAAAAAAAAATGTACAGTTAAAGTTCCAGAAACTGTATTATAAGAACTCATTGCAACAAACAATTGCACAATTTAAGCAATCAAATCTAGTTTTACAGCCATTAAAACAATACTTGTCTATTTGTATGCCTATGTCAATTTCTGTTTCTCCTTATCGTTCGGTAACATGGAATGCTCAGTCTATAAAGCCGGTCGTTCTGTTGGCAATGTAGAATAGCCTGTTGATAATTACAGTCCGATAGAGTATTCTACCTTGTCAAGAGTATTCTATGTATCTTACCAACCAGGCAAACACGTTCTTTCCTAACTCAAAGATAGGCATCAGGATTTTTACCGACTGGGTCACACTGTAACCTTTGCAAACAGTTCTTATAGTACAGGAGGTAAATATTTTTTAAACACTTTAGCTCTGAGTATCTTATAATCTATTATTAGGTTGATTCATAAATAACTTCCGCTGCATACAACAAATAATCATACTTTTAGGGAACCTCCTGCTGGTAGCAGTTTTTAATTTACCCTCTGAATGGGACCAAATGATGATCAACAACAGTGGCTATATAATTGATTTTCATTTATTATGTAATAATATACTATGCAAGTAAATTATTCATCAAAATTTTGCCGCTGTTCAAATTTCAAATACGCATAACTCCGACAATTTTCATTGTATAGAGACTATTTTCTTTCATTTTGTAGGTAATTATTTATACTTTACGAAAACTTATTTTTCTTTAAAATCTGATTATTTGGCGGGCTACCTGGATCGCACTGATTATATTCGGAAATTATACATAAACCATTGCAAAGTGTACATTTTACAAAGGAACTTAAAGTAAAAAACAAGTCTGAGGTTTTTTGACCGAGTTATGCCATTCGAAGAATATCGTACGAAGAGACGTCTTTCTTTTTTTAAAATACTTGTTAAAATGTGCACTTCGCGACGGTTTGTGTGTAATTTCCGAAAGAAATCAATGCGATCCAAGTAGGTCGCTAAAGAATACAATTTTAAAGAAAAAGAAGCGTTTGAATTTTTCAAGGCCATGGAGATGCGGCATCGACTCGCATCCATTTTGCATTAATTTTTTCCTAAAGTACAGATAAGTACCTACTAACAAGGAAAGCTTTTTAGGTGTCCGCCTACGATTGTTTTGATTTTTGGATATGTTTTAAAGGGCCGAAAAATAAGATATCCGTATTTTTTTTATTGGCTCGTTTTCATATTTAGGGGGTGAAACGACCCCCTAAAGTTTCAACTGCAACAGGCTATTATTATAAACAAATTATTGTTTACAAAATTTAGGGCCAGATTTGATATGCTGATAGAAAACCATGAAACTTTTTCTGAAAAAGTTGACTCCTATCTATGATAGTTTCAGAGATAGCCTATTGCAGCTGAAACTTTAGGGGGTCCTTTCACCCCCTAAATTTGAAAACGAGCCAATATAAAAAAATACGTATAAAAATGAAAACAATCGTAGGCGGACACCTAAAAAGCTCTCTTTCTAAGTGAAACTTAGTTTCTTAGTAATCTTAAGTTTACGAATGGAAAAGATTGTAACAGTTTTTACCTGGAACAATATTTTTTAGTTTTCTTCTCCATTCTTAAGTTAACGAACGTAAGTTATTTACCAATCGATCCAATTGTAACCGAGAACACGCAATTCGATAAATCTTCGATTCTCGCAGGCCTATTCTAGGAGGCCTAAGTCTCCTTGTCAGTAATATTTTTGTCGCTTACCCATATCGTCTATAATCGGTGCCATCCTCAGGGTTACTCCGACCAACAGCAAAGACATGGCGAGCAGAAGGCAAGCAGTCGCAACGATCGTCCAACGTGCGCGTGGAGGAAGTTCTTCGGGATCGACGAGCTCTTCTCGAGGACCCGCGTTGATAACCTTATGCCGTTTCCGTTTTCGCTTTTTGCGGGGCCGATGATACTTTTCACGAGGTTCCTCGATCTTTTCGATGCCGCTCAGAATTTCTTCTTCTAAATCGTCCGCTACGTTTAACGCCACGTAATTGTCGTCGTTGTCGTAGTGGATCTTTCTGCAAGAAAAGAAAACAACGATATTCGCGATAACGTTACGCGGGTGAATTTTTTAAAAGAAATCTTTATCGTGATCAATTTTCATCTAGACAAATATTTTTTCGTAAATAATTAATGAAATGTTACGAAAAGGTCCTTTTTAACACTTTATTTACCGGGAGCCTATTTATAGGCTTTTTAATTCTAGTATTTAGCTTTTCGAATTTATGTACTGTGTCGATGGTTGTCTACTTACGATGTTCAGTTTTTGGAAACAGACTTGGCTTTCAATGTACCTAGTAACAGTATGGAGGAATTATTGTCAGTCTAGGTTGCCATATGCTACTGTAGAAAATTCTTTTTTTAATTAACGTATGCTTCTAAATAGCCCGATAGATAAAGCGTTAAGTGGTTACACGCAGTTGTAGTCAAAATTTAAGAATTTTGTTCACACTTTAAATACATGTTTTAATAGAAAACCAAGCTTAATGTTATAGTACTAGTAATGAACTTGATATATATATTTTGTTATTAAGATAAAATTTATATATCAAGTTCAATATTAGTACTGTAAAATTACGCTTTGTCAGAATGTAGAAAGTTATCAATAAAAGCTTTTTACCGTAAAGGCGAGATAAGTAGAGTCATGCTGGGGAAAAAGGATTTCTTTTAATATTGAGAAATGGGTCTGGGGTCCATGTTCGGAAACTGTTGGTCTTGGGTACTCTGAGAGACATTTATGTATCTTTTAAAAAAAGATATCCCGCGAATAAAGTCAATTTCAGGTTATTTACGCGCTTACGTCAGCAGAAGCATGTTTTCCCTGGTGCCAGCGGTAAATACTTTGTGTTATCGTAGCGTTTTAATTAAAAAAAGATAGAAAAAATCAATTTATATATATTAAATGTATGTCTTTTGAGTAATACAACGAAAATGGATTTTTAAAAAAAGGTACTATGGTCTGGCACCTTAAGGGACGAAACTAAGACGGCAAATATTAACCCTTTCCATTTGAGAGGTGACTCTCAGTCACCATTAGGTTTCACGCAGCAAATCTACAATACCTAATATTTCTATACGTTTAATTTCTTTGGAGCTCGAAGTGTCGGTAACACGATTGTCGGCGAGGTAAAGGTGACCTTATTCTCACATCTGGATAGCTTAGAATTCATGGCAATAGAATGCTAAGAAACATCTCGAGTTGGTGGCAAATACGAAAAAAGGCCTCGAGTGTAAAGGGTTAAGTGTTTTTCGTGTTTTCTTTTTACACAGAAAAATGTTCCTAATTTTTTTCTTTTAATTTTGCGAATATCTTACGTATGTTTTAAAGTACATTTAATACTTTTTCTAATTCATTTCACACAGAAATCTTTGAAATCTTTCTCTATATATACATATGTATAGCAAGTTTTCGCCCAAGTCTGCTTTCGATGGAAATTCTGGTAATCGCAATTGTTATCCGAAATCCATGAAATTTTTTATTTACATTAGTAACATGTTTTCTAAGAACATGAACCTGGAACTGCAGCCATAAAAGTTGAAAGTTCGATTATTTAGTAGTATTTAAAGAAAAAATATCAATTTTCATTATTCTTTGTGCAGCTTTTTGTAATAAAAGCATGCTTCAAACGATGACATCATTCAAATTTTTTAGTTCATATTCATGGCATTCAAAGCGTATATAGAAAGTTTGAAAACGATCGGTCAATTGGTTTTTGAGTTATCATTCCCACGGCTTGAAAAAATATTGTTTAAAAACGAAACGCGATATCTCAATGATTTTTGTTGCGAATTGAATTGAGAAAATTATCAAATAGACTTTAAAGCATACGGAAAATATTCTCATGATTATAAATATATTACATAAATTCATCTCTGTAAGAACAATATTCCAAGGAATATTTAATACTTGAATTGTGAATGTGGTCTCCCCTCTTAACCCTTTGCGCTCGGGTGGCGCCTCTAGGGCGACATATGTAATTTAAAAATGATTTTGTGAACGTACAATTTCAAATTCACTTACATCGGAATACAACTAATTAACAATTGAAATAATAATACATCGAGTCATGAACGTTCGTAGATGTTTCTCTTCGAAGTAGAGTTTTTGGTTTCACAGAAATTTTTTATAAAAATGGACTGGATTTGACTCTATAGAAAAATGCCTCGAGCGCACAGGGTTAATTCCTTTAACCTTAGTGGGACATACATGTACATGTTCCAGTGAAAACATATGGTTCGCAAATTGCAATTAAGACTCACAGGAACATATGTTAAAAAGGTGAACATCATTTGCCTTTTATGTGGCTACTTTTTATTTGTACACAGCCCTAGTTTAATATAAATTATTTCTAAAAGAGAAACGAATAGAATTCAAATAGAAATCAACGGAGTCGAAATGGATTCTTTTGTCAAGGGTCTGTAGCGTCGCTTACACGTCTTCGCTCTCGTATTCGCCATTTAGTCTAATTGGTGCACTTGACAATTTAATTGTATAGTATAAGCAGCACTTACAATTGAGCTGTACTTTGGGAAAAGTAGCAGGCACTTCGGTGCAACTGCGGATATTCGCAGGAATCGCTGAGGGTTTCTCGAGTCCTTTCAAAATTGATCAATGCGAGATCTTGGTCGCCATCCATTCTGAGGAGCTCGAAACGTGAATTGAGACCAGTCTGAACGTCCTGGACTACACCGTGGAGGATGTTTGGGCTCTTGGAATGTTTGCGTTTCTTTCTTGGACGTCGTGGACTCTCCGATGCTCTTCGTCTTCCTTTACCTGGAACAGTATACACGCCATTATAGTCTTCTACGTTCTAAATTCTAAAGTATCGCGTTTCAAGATACTCTGACTCTAATGGCCTCCTTTTATGAATATACAGGGTGTCCCAAAACTCGCGTAGGAGCCGGAAATGGGGGGTAGCTGAGACGATTCTGAACAACAATTTCCTTTGCAAAAATGTCGGCTGGGGCTTCGTTAAGGAGATATTAA